AAAATTATTATTTTTTTTAAAAACGATTAAACATTTTTGAAAAAAAATTACTTCGAAAAAATAAGATTTTTGAGAAACTTTAAATTTGACAAAAAATTACTTTTTTTTGAAAAAAAAATTTGTTTTTAATTTTTTTTATTTTGACATATGTTGGAAGATCTGAACTTTTTTTCAAAGCGATCGTACTGCTTTAAATGCATAGAGACAAAATATAAAGCGCGTAAGCGCCGCGTCGCTGTCTAACGGGTAAACATTGGTACGGAACCCATAGGAATGTAAACAAAATTTATACTTATTGTTAAAATCTCTATAAAATATCTGATAATTTGATGTACATATGTCTAATGATCATTTTTGACCGCCAAATGGCATTTTTTTTTACTTTTTTTGTTATATCTCCGAAACCGATAAACCTGCCCTTATAAAAATTTGATCAAATCTTCATCTTGTCAATACAAGTAAAATGTTTTTTGAATTATTAAAATCGGACGCTCCGTTCTATTAAGGGTTTTTTGGTACTTTTTGCCCCATATCTTCGGAACGGCTAGACCTACCTCCGCCAAAAACTAATCAGCACGTCTCCTTATCAATACGGATCGAATGTTTTTTAAATTATTCAAATTGCTTCATTCGTGTTCCCGAAATCGTCAACGAAAATTTGTATCCGCACACACATACATACTACGCACACACACACACACACACACACACACACACATACATCCATTTTTTCTAAGGTATGCCAAAATATTCAGAAACCTCTGAAACGTAAAGATATATAAAAATTTTCATTTTCGATTTTTTTGCGATTACTATAACTTACCCTTCGGGAAGTTAACTAGGATTTTTATTTACCTAACTCGATTTAATAAATTATTCTGTTTTCTATCTAGGAGCCTGATGCTCTACCGTTCACACCAAAGCATATCAGATCTCAATTTCAACACGTATTCATTGTGGTACGAGCTATCAATCCGTGTTCTGAAAATACACATTATGCAGTTGCTGTCACTAGATCGAAGGAAGTTCCTATATTTGGACCACCAATTCGAGAAGGTAATTGTAATTGACTCGTCTTAAAATATCCTCAATTTTTTGTGGCTAAAATACCCCATATTTATTTATTTATTTATTTATTTTAAATATATAGCCCACAGATTTCTTCCAAGAGGACTCAAAAATACAATTATTTTACATAATGAATAACAATTAAAATACATACAAAATTACAATATACATAGTTATTAACATAAAATGCTTAACATAAAATTACATATAATGCAGAATGTAACAATATTATTTATAAACAGAATAAGATAAAATAATGAGATATTTGAAAAGAAAATAAAAAGGTTAACTTGTGCAGATGGAGATTATTCGATTATTAGGTGAAGTGTTGTGAATATCTATTTCATTATTAATTAAGTTAAAGTTAGAGGACAGTAAAATTGGTGAATTTAAGAGAGAATTAGATTTAGGAGTAGGATAATTGAAAAATAATTGTGAACGCGTAGATAGCCTTGGATAATTGATTAAGAATATGAGGACAGTCTATAGAATTATTGCAAAGTTTAAATAAAAACATAATTGTACAGATAAATCGACGTGAGGCAAAGGAAGGAATACCAAATTCTTTTAGTAAAGTGTTGTGGTCAAAGCCACATTCAGGGTAAATTTTATATGTTTTATAATAGAGATATTTCAGAAATTTTCGCTGAACCTTCTATATCGCATCAGAGTTGTTGATATGATGAGGATACTAAATAATCGAACCATACTCTAATTTTAAACGTACATTAGAATAGTACATGCAAAGAAGTGCATTGTTAGAATTGAATTGTTTACAATTTCTCAGTATCAAACCTAAAGATTTTTGTGCTCTATTACAAATATCAGTTATATGATCCGTGAAAAACAAACCAGAATCAAATAATACTCCTAAATCTGAAATTTTATTACATCTATCAATGCTGGTGTTAGAAATTTTATAATCAAAATGTATTGGACGCGCTTATGTGAAAAACTAAGAATCTTGCACTCTGATATATTTAAATGTAATTTGTTATAGACACACCAAGTGAGTGGAAAGAGTCATGTTGAGACTGTATGCTGACTGTATAATATGGTTTTTTTGTTTTTTTTTTTTTTTTTAGGCGGCGTTTATCCTAAAGGAGCAGCTTTTGCTGACTTTCTTTTGGCAAAAGCAATCAATGGTGAAAATGCTGCACATCGTTCTGACAAATTCGCCACCATGGCTACGAGGACGAGGCAAGAGTATTTGAAGGATCTCGCTGCTAATTATGTAACCACTACAGCTTTGGATACTGGACAGAAATTCTGTAAGCATAAAATACATAATAATTATCATATTGTTTTGTATATAATCACTCAAATAATTATTCTCCCCAGCTTTGCTATCTTCAATGTTTTCCTCAAGATCATCATCATCATCCTATGGACATCGATCAGCTCACCAGCATTCATCATCGAATCATCAGTCGCTGAATTCACCTTTGGACGCTGTAGCTTTGGGGGCTCACCAACGAGGTGCTATTTGTTGGCAGTTACTCCTTGTCGATCCAGGACGATCGCAGCCTGTCGATTGTTTTTTGGGAATCAGCGCCGAGACTTTTGTGCTGCTGGAAGAAGCTACGAGGAGGATTGTTTTTGTTACACCGTGCAGAAACATACTAGGTAAGGAGGATGGAAGACATATATATATATATATATATATATATATACATATATATAATATATATATATATATATATATACTAGATGACCCGACAGACGTTATCCTGTACCGTTTACCTAAAAATAATAATTATTGTTTTTTAAATTTCTCTTCACGCCAAAATGCTTATACATTTATAATATGAGCGATGTTAAATGTAAAACTGCTTTAAATAAAATAATGAATGAATGAATGATCTATTGAGCAAATGATAGAGAGCAAAAAAATTCTAGTCTTTGAACATTAAACATAACCATAACATAACACTGATAGTTCATGTTGGATTATTTTTATTTAATTTTTCATTAATTAAGACATTCAAAATTGCATCTTAAACTTCTCTATAATCGGTATCGTGAGGGCCGAATTGTATGTATTCATCTTTACTTTCCCATTTGTTGTTATAAAGTGAAATTTTTACGAATTTTAAAAATATTGTGCAAAGATTAGTGAAAGATGCAAAAAAATTATATATTGAAAAAAAAAACTATATTGAAAATTTTATATCCGAATCTTGTTTTGGCGCCCCCTAAGTCGTGCGCTCGTATTTTTCGCATGCATCGCATTAAAGGTAGGACCGGCCCTGATTAATACTTAATTTTATATTTTAAGTGAATTAATTTGTCATATCTTGTTCAAATGTGTATCATTCAATCTGCCATACATATACTGTAATTTATATTATTTTAATTTTTGGCACATCTCAGCTGCTTTTTGGCAATAATAATGTAGACATTTCATTTTTCTTATTCATAATCATGAATTTATTATGCATATTCTAATATTGTCTAGGTTCATAAGTAAATTGAAATTTTTGGCAGATGATAGTTTTCATTTGTTTTTAATGCCAAACAAGGAAATGTCGGTTTTTGTCATTTTGTCCATTTATTTCTACAATATTACTTTATTTTTATAATTACATACAACCTAAAAAAATTCCCTTAACAAACTAAAGAAAGATTTGTCAAAATCCGTATAATCGGTTAGGAGGAGTATATTTACATACATCATTACAGAAGAATTTTATATATATAAGACTAGCAAACCCGACGAACTCCGTTTCGCCACCAGATAGTTTTGTGAGAAAGATGAAGAAATTTTTTATTTGTTTTATATTTTAAAAGAAAAAATTTGATTTTATTATACGACAGTAACGAATTTATTTTGATTACAAAAATGAAGTGTTTTTTAGTTGAACTTCTCTAAGTAAATGGTAAGTGAATCCGCAAATTATCAGTTTCATTGAAGTGCTCTTTGGTAAACCATATTTTTTGTTTTTTGGTTTGACGTTAACACAAACAAAGCGGATGGTTTTTCAATTCGTGAACAGGCAACGTATAACTGCCCATGTGAAAAACAATGATTTTCTAAATAATCTATTTGAAATTTATCCCGCAAACACTAAGCGATTGGCCTTGCGACTTGTTATTGCGAACGAAAGGCGAACTGGAAATTGAAATCGTTTGAAGTCAAACGGAAAACTAGTCGGAATCATTGGTATGTCACCAAATCGCCAGCAATTTTTGATTGAATGGTGAAATTCAGGGGCGTGTACATCATTATTCTTTGCGGCAAGAATTGCTCGATGACTTAACCAAGCATAATTCTGATAATTCTCACTAATGTCATTACTCGGATTTTTAATTACGGTGCGTGAAGTTCCAGCAATTTGCATTAGGGCACGATGCCATGCATCACTAATTTTCTTAGCTATAAACCTTGCGGAGCCCGAGACCTTTCCAACGAACGCAAAATTGTCGAAATCGGTTCGTGCGTTCTGGAGTTATTTCGTCAGGAAGGAAAACTTGACTTATTTTTATATATATAGAAGATATTAGGTTGTCAAATATCTCCCTTCCGCTTTTTTGCTATTGGTTTATAATACAAAAAGGCGGAAGGAAGATATTTGACAACCTAATATATGAATCATTTGTATGTATTTATATCACTGATTGTTTATTCTTTCTTTTTTTCAAGGTTGGTCTACGACAAATCAATCCAGTGTCCTTCGAGTTTACCACCACCAAGGCGAGTGTGTCACCCTAAGGGTCCGTGGAGCTGATGACAGAAGCGATGAGCAGACTGAAATCATGGCCAGGCTGAGGGCTGTTACAGGTGGTCAATTGGCACAAGAATTGACCATCGGACGTAACAGGAACGGACAGCTTGGTTTTCATGTGCAGCCTGATGGTGTTGTCACACAGGTAAATACCAAGATTACTTTAATCATTCTTCAAGACCATTATTTATTATTCCTTTATCCCAGGTGGAGCCAAATGGTCCGGCCTGGTCAGCAGGCTTGAGAAGAGGTGCACGACTTGTAGAAATCTGTCATGCAGCAGTTGCTACGTTGGCTCATGACCAAACAGTGGATTTATTAAAGACTTCGGTTCTGGTGACAGTGACGGCGGTGCCTCCTGGACCTGGAGGAGTTGCCAGGAGGGGTTGTGATTTGGCACAGTGTCGATACAACGCAGGTGAATAGATAGAAACAGATTTTAAATTAATCTTATATATAAAAATGAATCGCAAAATGTGTTGGTAAGCGCATAACTCAACTAGGCCTGGACCAATTTGGCTAATTCTTTTTTTTTAAATGTTAGTTGGTGTCGAAGGATTGTTCTTACGGCGAGACAAAATCGATTAATTGCCGGGAAAACCCTAAAAGCAGCTCTTTTCTTTTTTTCATACGAACGTTTACTAACTAAAACGTAGAATCAATTTGAGCTTTATTGCTATTATATGAAGTTCATATTAAATTACAAACACTCACTGTATACTCCTCCTGAACGATTATTCGGATTTTGATAAATCTTTCTGAAGTTTGTTAAGGAAAATTTCTAGGATGTATGTGATTATAAAGTACTGGGATGTATGTGCAATATTGTAAAAATACATGAAAAAAATTGCAAAAAACGACATGTCATTGTTTGCATTGAAAACAAATGAAAACTATCATCTGCCAAAAATTTCAATTTACTTATGAACCTAGACAATATTAGAATATGTATAATAAATTTATGATTATGAATAAGAAAAATGAAATGTTGCCAAAAAGCAGCTGAGATGTGTCAGAGATTAAATTAATATAAGATACAGTATATGTATGACAGATTGAATGATACACACATGAATTGATATGACAAATTAATTCATTGAAAATATGAAATTAAATATTAATCAGGGCCGGTCCTACCTTTAATGCGATGCATGCGAAAAATACGAGCGCACGCCTTAGGGGGCGCGGATATTAAATTTTCAATATAGTTTTTTTCCAATATATAATTTTTTTTGCATCTTTTACTAATCTTTCTACAATATTTTCAAAATTCGTAAAAATTTCACTTAGTTAGTGAGAAAAGTCATTTTTGTATCAGACAACTGATCAACTGAAAATTTTCATTATTAAAAATATTAATACATTCTGCTTGATTTTTATAAAATATATTTTTTCACTTTGATTAAAATTATAAGAGTATTTTCTCTAAATTTATGTTTGTACTCAGTTTTATTATGATAGTATAAAAATATAAACTTGAAATTATTTATTTGATATTAAATAATTTTTTTCTGTAACGAATTTTTGTGTAATATAAAAATATAACTAGTGGGGTGGGTGGCATTGTGCCTTAAGTCAAATTGCTGGAACTTCCCGTACCGTAACGAAATGTTCGAGGAATATTGAATGTTTTCAAATAGATTAATATAAATATTATAACATTGTCTAATATTTATAAGAATTATATAAACTGAATTGCAGAGTTGAAATTATTTGTTCATAATAAAACTATAGTCAAAATTAAAAATAAAATCTGAATTATTTTCGATATACAAAAAATTAAAAAAAAAAATGAAACAAATTTTTTTTTTCCAAAATCAATTATTTTGTTAAGACAAGCAGAAAGTTCTTTGAATCGATTGAATCGGACGCTTAGTTCTCTCAAAAACTGCCATTTTTTGTACATTTAGCTCTGTATCTCCGAAATGGCTGAGCCTGCCTTTGAGAAAAACTAATAACCCCTTCTCCCAATCATTACTAATTGAATGTTTTTTAGATCATTCAAATCGGATGCTCCGTTTTTTCAAAAACTCGATTTCTATTTTCTGCACTCTTTGCTCCTTATCTCCGTAAATGCTGGACCTGCCTTTGCCAAAAACTAATCAGCACATCTCCTTATCAATAGGAATCGAATGTTTTTTAAACCATTCAAATCGGTTGATCCGTACGCCCAAAAACGTGGGCGAAAATTTGTATCCATACATACATACACACACACACATCCATTTTTTCTGAAGTATGCCAAAACGTTCAGAAACCTTCAGAACGTCGAGAAATGTAAAAATTTTCAATTCCTATTTTCGGCCCATTACAATAACTTACCCTACGGGAAGTTAAAAATATACATATAATTTTCATTATCTTAACTAATTTTGTCGACATAGAAGTTATTTAATATTACATAAAAGTTATCTATGTACACACAAAAAATTAATTATATTATATTAATATTAATACAAATAATTTCAAGTTCATATTTTTAATTTTTTTATGATAAAACAGAGATCAAATGTGAATGTATAAAAAAAATTTCTTAATATTAAAAAAAATATAGCGACAAAAAATTTCTAACAAATGGGAAAGTAAAGATGAATACATACAACTCGGCCATCACGATATCGATCAGAAAAAGATTAAGATGTAATATTGGGTATCATAAATAATAAAAAATTAAATTAATTTAATCCAACATGAAGTATCAGTGTTATGTTACGGTTATGGTTATGTTACACCGTCTAAAAGACTTCAATTTCCAATATAGTGTAGGAATTGAGACTTATCATTTTATTTAAATCAGTTCTACATTTAACATCGCTCATATTATAAATGTATATGCATTTTGGCGTGAAGAGTAATTTAAGAAACAATAATTATTATTTTTAGGTAAACGGTAAATATTTGTATATTATGTTAAAAAATTGTAGGCATGGGTACAGAACAATGTCTGTCGGGTCATCTAGTTAGAGTATACATTTATTATTATTATATTTATTTCTATGTTTCAGGTTATTACGAAAGTGATTACGAGAATGCTTTGTCGCCGTCTTCTTCCAATGTTTTATTGAATTCCGAAGAGGATCCTGGTGAAGTTGGTGGTTTTGCAAAGGCTTCGTCGGGGGACACAAAAAGGGTGCTCAGATGCAATTGAAGTCGAATCATAGAAGGAAATACGAAAGGAGCTTCTCCCCGCCGAGGTCGAGTAATAGTTCGGGATACGGAACGGTAAGTGAAAAACTTTATAAATAATTATTTATTTGATTGAGATTTTTAACTTCCCGAAGGAGAAGTTTATGTTTTCATCAAAAAATCTGATTCGCTAATTTTATGTTTTCTCGACGTTTCAAGCCATTCTGAAACGAATGAGACCAAATTTGGAAAAAGTATGTGTGTGTGTGTGTGCGTGTGCACCAACAGATTTTTTGCCGTAAATCGCCGTTTTCTCAAAAACGGGTGGACCGATTTCAAAAATTTAAAAGCCACTCGATGTATCTCGATGAGGACTATTGTTTGTCAATTTTGTGCGACGATCGGCCAAGCCGTTTCTTTATAAATCGCAGAAAAGTGAAAAAATTTTCGTCTACGTTTTAGCCCACAATTCTGAATCGATTATGAAAATTCAAAAACCGTTCGAAAGATATTGGTTGGGAATCGTGCTGATTAGTTTTTGGTAAAGATCGGCCGGGCCGTTTTCTTGTAATAAAGTTAAAAAAAAATCGACGATTTTTATGATTTTTTTGACGGTAGATATCATAGTCTTCTAGATCATACTAAAATATTACCGCCCTACGACAACTCGTTTAGCTTCAAAAATTCGTCAAAATTTGCAAAAATTGGAATCGTTTTTTTCAGAAAAAAAAACCTTTGATCGACGTTTTCTCAGAAACGCCTGAACCTATTTCAGATATTTAAAAAGCATTTGATGTATCTCGATGAGGATTATCGTTTCTCAGTTTTGTGCGACGATCGACCGAGCCGTTTCTTTGTAATTTGGAAGAAAGTGTTAAACCTTTCGTCCACATTTAAGCTCATCCTACCGAACCGATTTTAAAAAATCAAAAACTGTTCGAAAGATATTAGTTGGGAATGATACTGATTAGTTTTAGGTGAAAATCTACCGAGCCGTTTTCTTGTAATTAACTGTTGAAAAAAAAAATTAGGCCGACTTTTTTTGGCGATATATATATCATGGTCTTATAGAACTTACTGAAGTATCACGGCCTTACGACAAGTAGTTTAATTTTAAAAATTAATCAAAGATTAAGAAAATGAGTAGTTTTTTTGACGTTTGTTAAAATTAAAATTAGACGACGACGTGTACTTGGTCTTGAACATAGTAAACCATTAAAGTCCTACGAAAACTGGTTCAATTATAATTATTAATTAATTAAAATTATTGATTTTTGAAAATTTGCTGTTAGAAAATACTCCGAGTTGACGTGTTCGTTCGTTCGTTTGCAATGATGTGTAATAAATCCACTCGGAATACTTATAATCACTCATAAATGAATTTATTTTTTATTGATTAAGTCGATTATTTACACATATCGGGAAGTTCATGTAACTTGCCTCAAAGCAAACCAAACCAACTAGTTTATTATTATCTTCAACAATCTATTACCATTTACTTATCCTTTTTCAGGGTAGTAGCAGTAAGTCCTTCAGCAACGACCCTCGATACATAACCCAATCCTCCCATCAGCAATGGTACGAAACAATACCACCAGACGACCAACAACCACACAGTCAGTCTATGCAGCAGCAACAGCAGCACTTTCAACAACCATTAAATTCACAAACACCATCCCCAATTGCCAGTACTTTAAGTTCCCCGAATAGCACTCCACAGAAACACCAGAGACTGCACGCCACCAGCTCCTTACCATTGACCAACATGAGTTTATCGTTGGTTGGTGTTGATTTCGACAGTGAATTGTTAACCAGGGGAAAGGACAATGATTCAAGGAAAGGTTCGAGTGAAGTTTTATCTGGTCAGAGGTTAGAAGATATTTATGCCAAGCCCATGAAAATTAAGCCTAAACCAGACCAAGATGATAGGCGGGTGGTTAAACCTTTAGGTGATATCTATAAGTCTTCAAGCGAGGTTTATGCAAGGCCTATGATTACAGCAACAGCAACCTCGCATAGTGACGATGAGTTTTTGTCCAGGAAGAATGAAGTACGACCAATGCCCAGGGTTGCTAATATCGAGTACTTGAATAAACTTGAAGCACCCGCTGCTGAACTTGTAGGAGATTCAGTGAGCACTAACAACTCACCACAGTTGAAAAGATCGACAAAAATCCGGGGAACTTTGACACCCAGAACAGGGAAATCCCAGGCGCGTAACGGGATTCAATCACGATACACAAACAGGCATAGTGCTAATTTAAACAGCACTTTACAAGAAGACTTAATGAGACTGATCAATCCTGATTACAGCCCTGATGCTAAGAAGAAAGAAAGTTGTTCCATGGTTAATATATCGTCTATAGCGAAAGAATCGCGGAAGCAACAACTGTTCATCGAAGAACAACCAGCTTTACCACAATCTTTATCCAATTTATCAATACACGACAACAAGACTTTATCCTTGAGCCACTTTCGGGATGACACATTAATACCTCGAAAAGTTGACAGTGAACAAATTACTTCAACTTCAACAGCACCCGTGATCTCAACTAATACTTCGGGTGCATCTCAGCTTGGCCACGAAATAAAGATGTCAAAGGAAGAGAGGTTGTCACCCAGAGTTATGACGACAAGCTCCAAAAGAAATCTAGGAACTCAAAAAGCCTCCATCAAAAGTGTGTCGATGAAGTGTGAGGAGGACAAGGAGCAGGAATTGGATTGGACGAGCTTGGTGGACACTGCCAATAGGGCCATGTTACAGGTAATAAATGATAAATTTTGTTTTGGATAGAACGAATTACAATATATGTGTTTATTTTAGGTGAAGGAAGACTCTACGAGGTTAGCAGGAGACTCGAGCGAACAAAATAAATATAATAAGAGATTGAACAACTGTAATGGGGTTGTAGAAAATGCTAAGGCGAAATTGGCAATTGCTAATGAACAAGGTAAGGAATTATATATATATATATATATATATATATATATTAATAATTATCAGTAATTATTTATATATATATATTTGTAGAGTTTCGAACAAGAATCCAAAAGTAATAAAAAACAAGAAAAGTTTTTAATAAACAATTTCTTTATTTATTTATTTATTTACTGTCGATTTACTGTCGACTTAGACAGTTTGTTTCAAACTGCCGATCTCGTAATATCGAGAGAGTAATATTGTTTGTGTTTTTCAAATAATAATTTAAAAAAAATACAAAACTTTTAGTAATTTTAAGTTACAAAATTTAACTATTCGGCTGAAAAAGCAACTCATAAATTGATTTTTTGTTAAAATTTTGTTTTAGTGAAAAAGTGCTAAGATATATTCATACATACAGTTAATTAATTCAATTTTGTCATTAACCTTTTCTAAAATTTTCTATAACTTTTAAAAATGTTATCATATTTAATATCCTGTTTTGATAAATAATCCACTCATTTATTTTTTATCATTTTCATTTTGATCATATTATCACATTTCTGTACATTATTAGTTTTTCAATTAATTTATTATTTAAGAAAAATCCATTTTCTTTTCTTAAACATATTGTTTGCTGAAATCTCATCAAGATCATGTTTCTTGACAGATGTCCTGAAGATGGAACGTACCTAGTTCCGAAACGTCGACAGTAATCAAATAATTAAATAAAGAAATTGTTTATTAAAAACTTTTCTTGTTTTTTATTACTTTTGGATTCTTGTTCGAAACTCTACAAAATATACACAAATCCAAGACTCTACCATTTAATATATATATATATATATATATATATATATATAAAGCGAGTGGTTTTTCTTCAGATGGTGAAATATGATAAAATTGTTTCTTGGGCATCCATCCAGTAATTAAAAAACAGTTTTATTGAAAAATGTTTTTATTTAGAGAACATACGTTTCGGGTCTCGATTTGACCCATCTTCAGTGCATACAAATAAATTTGAAAAAAACACAAAAACACACGAAATTGCACGAAAAAAATAATTGATAACAAAACAAAAAATTGATAAAACGTCGAGTTATGATCAATTTTAAAAAATTGTAAAATTAAAATAAATAATATATTTTATTATAAAATAGCTTATTCTAAACATGTTGTCAGCTTGGAGTATGTGTTACGTGAAACAATTTTATCACATATATATATATATATATATATATATATATATATACTAGCTGACCCGGCAAACGTTGTTTTTCCATGAAAATATTTCTAGTCTAAATGTTCAGTACGAAAATAACTAACTGATTACGAATGTGGTGCATGAGTGAAAAGGGCAGCTGACAAAACTTATATGAATAGTGTACCCACTGTAAAGCATGCCACATACAAATGTTTTGATTCTATTATTCTGATTCTATTTAAATTGAATTGGCACATTTAAAGTTTCCAGATTTTGATATATTATTACCGCACTTCTCATTAATTCATTAATTTTTTAATTACGAAGCAAAATCCGTTATTCATTTTTAAATTATATTCTTGTGTGGCATTCCCTGCGAATTGACTGCTAAAAACAAAAAACATTGTAAACAAATTGAAAAAAAAGGCTTTTGATGTTTTGAAGTGCTTTTGACTGTCTTGAAAAGATCTTGACTGTCTTGAAAGGCTCTTGACTGTCTTAAATCTTCTGACTTTTTTGAAAAACGCTTTGAAAGACCTTTTAACTGCTTTGACGGTCTCCTAGTCTTCTGGCTGTCTTGAAAGCCTCCTGTATGTATTGAAAGTCTTCTGACTGCCGTGACCATAAAAAAAATCGTTCAAAATGTAAAAAAAAAGTTTTTGACTGTTTTGAAACACCTTGACTGTCTTGAAAAGCTTTTGACTGTATTAAGTCTCCTGACTTTCTTAAAAAACGCTTTGAAAGACCTTTTGACTGCCTTGAAAACTTCCTGACTGACTTGAAGGCCCCCTGACTACCCTGAAAGCCTCCTGACTGACTTAAAAGCCTTCTGACTGCCTTGAAAGCCTCCTAATTGCCCTGAAAGCCTCCTGACTGACTTGAAAGCCTCCTGACTGACTTGAAAGCCTCTTGACTGCCTTGAAATCCTCTTGACTGGCTTGGAATCCTCTTGACTGCCTTGAAATCCTCTTGACTGCCTTGAAATCTTCTTGACTGCCTTGAAATCCTTTTGACTGGCTTGAAATCCTCCTGACTGGCTTGAAATCCTCCTGACTGGCTTGAAATCCTCCTGACTGGCTTGGAATCCTCCTGACTGACTTGAAAGCCTCCTGACTGACTTGAAAGCCTCCTGACTGATTTGAAAGCCTCCTAAATACCCTGAAAGCCTCCTAATTGCCCTGAAAGCCTCCTCCATTACTTTCAAAGCCTCTTGAATGCCTTGAAAGTCTCCTAATAGCCTTGAAAATCTCCTAATTGTCTTGAAAGCCTCTTCATTGCCCTGAAATCTCCGTTACTGACTTGAAAGCCTCCTGACTGACTTAAAATCGTCCTGACCGCATTGAAAGCCTTCTGACTGCCTTGAAAGCCTCCTAAATGCCCTGAAAGCTTCCTAATTACCTTGAAAGCCTTCTGACTGACTTAAAAGCCTCCTGACTAACTTAAAAGCCTCCTGACTGACTCAAAAGCCTCCTGACTGACTTGAAAGCCTCCTGACTGACTTAAAATCGTCCTGACCGCATTGAAAGCCTTCTGACTGCCTTGAAAGCCTCCTAAATGCCCTGAAAGCTTCCTAATTGCCTTGAAAGCCTCCTGACTGACTTAAAAGCCTCCTGACTGACTTAAAAGCCTCCTGACTGACTTAAAAGCCTCCTGACTGCCTTGAAAGCCTCCTGACTGACTTGAAAGCCTCGTGACTGACTTAAAATCGTCCTGACTGCATTGAAAGCCTCCTGACTGCCTTGAAAGCCTCCTGTCTGACTTAAAATCGTCCTGGCTGCCTTGAAAGCCTCTTGACTGACTTAAAATCGTCCTGATTGCGTTGAAAGCCTTCTGACTACCTTGAAAGCCTCCTAATTGCCCTGAAAAGGCTCCTGGCTGCCTTAAAAGCCTCATGACTGACTTAAAATCGTCCTGGCTGCCATGAAAGCCTTCTGTCTGCCTTGAAAGCCACCTGACTGCCTTGAAATCCTGTTGACTGCCTTGAAATCCTCTTGACTGAATTGAAAGCTTCCTGACTGACTTAAAATCGTCTTGACTGCGTTGAAAGCCTTCTGGCTGCTTTGAAAGCCTTCTGGCTGCCTTGAAAGCCTCCTGACTGACTTAAAATCGTCCTGATTGCGTTGAAAGCCTTCTGACTACCTTGAAAGCCTCCTAATTGCCCTGAAAAGGCTTCTGGCTGCCTTAAAAGCCTCATTACTGACTTAAAATTGTCCTGACTGCGTTGAAAGCCTCCTAATTGCCCTGAAAGCCTCCTCATTGCCTTGAAAGCGTCCTCATTTCTTTGAAAGCCTCTTCATTGCCTTGAAAGCCTCTTCATTGCCTTGAAAGCCTCTTCATTGCCTTGAAAGCCTCTTCATTGCCTTGAAAGCCTCCTCATTTCTTTGAAAGCCTCTTCATTGCCTTGAAAGCCTCTTCATTGCCTTGAAAGCCTCTTCATTGCCTTGAAAGCCTCCTCATTGCCTTGAAAGCCTCCTGACAGCCTTGAAAACCTCCTGACTGACTTAAAATCGTCCTGACTGCGTTGAAAGCCTTCTAATTGCCCTGAAAGCCTCCTCATTGCCTTGAAAGCGTCCTCATTTCTTTGAAAGCCTCTTCATTGCCTTGAAAGCCTCTTTATTGCCTTGAAAACCTCCTCATTTCTTTGAAAGCCTCTTCATTGCCTTGAAAGCCTCTTCATTGCCTTGAAAGCCTCCTCATTTTCTTGAAAGCCTCTTTATTGCCTTGAAAGCTTCCTAATTTTCTTGAAAAAATAGATGTACCATTCTTAGACCTATTCAATATGCACACAAAATATATGTAGGTATATATATATTAGGGTGGTCCTTAAAATGGTCATTTTCGAATTTCCTTGCTCCCAGGGGCTCAAATGGTTTCAAATTGATAAAAAACAATTCTCTGAAAGTTTTAGCTCTTAATATTAACGTTTAGATAGAGCGCAATTCAATCAAAGTTTTGTATGGAGTTAGCATTGAAAAATTTTCAAAAGTTTTAAAATTGTGTTTTAGATGTAATTTAGCGACCAAATGAATAAATAAAACTAATTCATTTGTCGCTAAGTTATCCCTAAAAAGTTTTTTTTACATTTTCAAAAATTTTTCCATGCTCTTTCCATACAAACTTTGATTGAATTGCGCTCTATCTAAATGTTAATATTAAGAGCTAAAACTTTCAGAAAATGGTTTTTTGTCAATTTGGAACCAAGTGAGCCCCTGGGAGCAAAGAAATTCGAAAATGACTATTTTAAGAACCACCCTAATATATATATATATACATATATATATATATATATATATATATGTATATATATACATATATATATTACATATATATATATGTATATATATATATATATATATATATATATATTTATTCCTGTATCCTTTATCTCAGGTTCACATGTCCACAACCAAGTCACAGAACTAGAAAGCATCGTAGCACACGAAACAACAATGAGACTAAGTCTAGAAGACGAGGTGAGGAGGTTACGTGAAGAGAATCGAAGACTCCAAGACGAAAGTCAAACGGCAGCACAACAGTTGCAAAGATTCACCGACTGGTTTTTCCATACAATACACAAGTAACAGAAATAGAATCGAACAACCGTGTGGGGTAGGTCATGACATGAAAGAAGATACATTTACTTATTTTATATTTTTATGGCTAAAAACATTACAAAACTTAAAGTATTTATAGGTAATAGACAAAACGATAATGATGTAATATAATTTATTTGTGGGATGATTTATAGAATGAGTGATAAGGTAAAAATTAATATTAGTTTTAATCAAATACTTCTATCGCTTTAATAAAAATCACTTACTATGATAAGACTTAGACAAATGCATCTATATAGTTAGTTATAGGTATTATAATATTATGAAAGTTTATTGTAAGTTTTAAAAGCCCCTAGAAATATGTGGATAGTAGGGGCTTACGGCTAAAGTGAATGGACCAATTCGTATACTGTGATTTAATTGCCTTCTTTGATTAACTTCTGTTATTGGATAATGGAGAGATAATGATAGAGATATAACTGGATGAGGTTCGATATATATAATTAGGGTGGTTAAATAATATGGACATTTTCGAATTTATGTCCTCCGAAGGGGACAAATGCTTCTAAATTAATAAGCAAAAATTCTCTAAAAGTTTCAGCACTTCATATTTACTTTTAGATAATTCGCATTTGAATTAAAAGTTTCGTATATTTATTATTAAGTAAATTCTTACGCCATCTGTGATAGCAGACTTGCAATTTTAATGGCAATTTATTACTGATAATTTGAGTGTCTACATCACCAATTAAATAAATATTTTGCTGCAAAATTAATTTTGATGCCATGATGAATAAATATTTTGTTAAACAGTTCACATGGATTTAATTTGAGGTCAAGTGTTTTATAAATATTTTTAAGTGTTATAATATTTGAGTTCACAAAGGGTATCACAGATGGCACAAGTATATATGGTAATAATGAATATAAAAAACTTTTAAACAATTTGCGGATTATCTAAAAGTAAATATTAAAAGCTAAAATTTTCTGAGAATTTTTTTTTTATCAATTTGGAAGCATTTGAGACCTTGGAAGCAAAATTCCAAAATGTCCAAACCACTCTAATATATATATATATATATATATATATATATATATATTACCTATTTATCTATTTAACTATTTACTTATCTCTATAAACTATTATATACTAGTTGAAAACTTAAAACACCAAAATCTGCATAAATAATGTTAAATAAATAAATTAATTAATCTAATAATCTAATGGTTCTACTAAATTAATATTAAAATTAAAATTGACACTAATTTAAAAGTAACATTGACACCAAGAGTAATTACTAAATAATTTAATTAGTTTATAACTCTATTATAATAGTGTGTAAGTGAGTTCTTATTCTATCGACTAAGGTCTTCCACTTTCAGAATTAAATATAAAAAACACTTTAGAAATATGTTATCGTTGTACAAACTTCAAATGTTTATATATAATTACATTAGAGATATATTAATATGTTAATTAAGTGAATTTTACTTTTTTTCCAAATATTGATGCAGAATATTTATTAATTTATTAACAATTAGATTTTTGTGTCTTGAAACTTCATATAAATATTGTTATTGATGTTCATAATGAAATTTTCAATTGGTGCAGAAATCTGATTTGTATTTTTTTACTTTTGCTCTACGAATAAATATGGACTATTAATATTATTATATTTTTTATGTTAATTGATATTTATTTGATAAGAGTACTTAATATTTTTTGCATCTTTTTAGTGAAGTTTGTAAGTTAGATTTTATATGGAAATAAATGAAAAGCTTTATGAGGACATGTTTGGAATTATAATTTATAATTTATTAAACATATATATATATATATATATATATAATAATGACATGTAGAAAATAAATATATACTATTGTATAGATATTTTGTACGACCTCATACACATATCCAAGACTCTACCATTTAATATATATATATATATATATATATATATACTAGTTGACTCGGTAACAGTGTTCTATATAAAAAATTACTGAATTATTGAGCAAAAAAGGAGTTTGTGGTAGGAGGGTGAAAATGTAGGACTTTTTTTATTTGAATTATAATATAAATTTTGTACATGTCAGACAGATGAAAGTGTCTGGTGTGAGAGATCGTACAAAATATCTATACAATAGTATATATTTATTTTCTACATGTCATTTATATATATATGTATATAATATGGTTGTTACAACATTTTATATCATTTATTCTATAATTCAATCATGCGTATATTCATTTTTGCATTCATACAATGGTTTAAATTTATTTATCTAGATTTTCTTTATAACGTTCTTTTTAACTTAGTTTTAAATTTATTCTCTCTTTGGTCATCTTTATTTTTTTGGAAGCCCATTGAATAATTTCGTGGTACTCCATATAGTGTTCTGACTGGCTTTATTTGTTTCGGTTTATTTTAGAACAAAAAAAAACTGTAGTCTTGTATTGTACTTATGTATTGTTTTATTTATATTTATCGATGTGCATGTTTTGATTTTGTTATGTTTAATCTAATGTATTAATTTGCATTTTCTATTTTAATAATTTTATTTAAAGGTAGGTTATCTGTTACATATTGAAATTCTTTAGTAGATGTAAAAAAGAGGAGATTATAGGTTTATGAGCGTTTTAAAAATTAAAATGTGTAAATTTACACATGAATGTGTACTAGGACTGTGTTACAATGTAAATTTTGAATACTACAAGTGTAAAAATTGTTATTGTAATCGAATGAATTTGTATATGTAAATTTGCCTAATGAATGTGCAAGTGTGTACTTAAATGCGTAAATTTACGTGCACGAGTAAGTATGTAAAATATTTAAATTGTTAGAAAGGGAAAATGGGTAAGTTTGTTAATGTGTAATTATTATACTTTTTAAATTAACTTATTAATTTGTTATTGATTAGGTCGATAATTACACATATCGGGAAGTTTATGTAACTTGCCTCAAGGAGAAATGCTACTAACAACTAATTTGTAATCAAATTGTACAAATTATTTGATTATTTTAAAGTTATAAAATCAAATTTGAAAATTAACGGACGTTTAAGAATCTGTGATTGTTTTCTTTTTCGCCGTTATGGCAGCACTGTTTCATTTGACATTCGTATTGTGTTGTCTTCATTTTATAAACGAAATAAGTTTCACATTTACGACTTAAAACATTTATTTAACTAAATAATACATATTTTAAACATATTGTAAATATTTTATCCAGTTTTAGTAAGTGTAGTTATTGGTGTATCTATTTCACCATGGCCCACAACTCTGTAGACCTAGTAGAAGAAGATGCTGCAGATTTACAATTCCCAAAAGGTATTTATAAAAAATCTATCACAAATTGTTATCAAAGACACGAATTTCTGGCAGTGGCTTGTTTTCATTATATTTTTACTATTTCTAGACCCCGGAATATCACGGCAAAGTCACTGCCAAAAATTCGGATCTCACATAACCTCAAAAGTATCCATTGAACCGCATCGCCTTTACAATCAGTGTGATAAAGAAATAGCGTGTAATTTCTGTAGCGTTTCCCTAATCGAACCTTTTATTCTGTGTGCTGAGTGCAATGATATCACTTTGTGTTTATCGTGCTTCTCAAAAGGCAGAGAGTTACAAAATCATAAAAACTACCATGCTTATTGTGTACAGCACGATAACTTTAATTTGTTCTCCTCACAATGGACTGCTCAGGAGGAGAAACAACTCCTAGATTGTTTGTTACGTTTTGGTCACGGCAATTGGGATGATATATCTAAGTACATGGAAACAAAAACACCTGAAGAATGTGAAAAACACTATTCCAGATATTACTTAGATAGTTTAGGTTCTGATTTGTTACCAAAGTTTAAAGAAAACAAGCGTTCCATGTCCCATAAGCCTTACTTGTTTAACACCGAATGTTTGGAGGATCCTCCAAGATTTTCTCCAAACTCCGTGCAGTTTAACATGCTGGCAGGTTATAGGCCTGCAAGGAGTGATTTTGATTATCCGTATGATGCAAATGCTGAAAGTATCTTTAATGATTTAAATTGTGGTGATATTAAAGATGAAGCGTACGGTGATGTTTTTAAAGAATTGTACTGTGGGCTCTTTAGGGCTTACAATCATCGACTAATGTAAGTATATTGAAATACATTTTTATTGTTACAAATAATAAATTAAATTGATTTTATTATTTTAGGGAACGGTGGAGGCGGTATAACATTATTCGTAATCATGGTTTAATATCTCCTTTGAAAGTTACTGGATGGTTGAGTGTACTCGACCAGGTAAATATTAATATTATTATATATATATATATATATATATATATATATACACGAGGTCTGTTCAAAAAGTACCCGGAATTATAATAATTAAAATTTCGCGGGTCTGGAGTGTCTGATTGTCAAAATTTTTTTTTATTGTGTTGGTATACATGCCCCTAAAGTATGATGAAATTTTCAGCTATATTCACTGTTTACTTTGTCTGTGGTAGTCGCTAAGGTTCGACGTGTTTTTCTGAGCTCGGCGATTTTTACAATGGAAGAATTGAAAAAGTCAAAGAATTTGTATTAATTTTTGCGTAAAAAATGAAATAAGTGTTGCAAAGTGCAAAAATTCACCAGATATGGCTCCGTGTGACTTTTTCCTATTCCCAAAGTTGAAGAGACCCATTGAAAGGACGGCGGTTTTCCTCGATTGAGAAAATCGCCGAGAGTGCTCAAGGACATATCAAAAAGTGAATATCAAGGGTGCTTCGAAAATTGAAAAAACGCTGGCATAAGTGTATTATATCTGGGGGGGACTACTTTGAAGGGGACCACATTAATGTAGACGAATAAATAAATATTTTTTTGAAAAAACGAAAATTCCGGGTACTTTTTGAACAGACCTCGTATATATTTATTTGTTTGTTTATTTTATTACTAAGTTTGTTTTTAGTTAGCTGAACTCAATGTGGGCACTTGTCTAAGTAGATTTATGCAATTATGTGATGCTGATAATTTTAATTTGTTGATTGAAGGTTTATTGCTTGAAGCTGAGATGAAGAAATATTTATACTCGTAAGTACATTAATATTACTTTGTTTTTATTTTTTCATATTATTTTGTTTTATTCAAGCCAATGATGATACGTAGCCATTTCTTATCATTCGACCGATATTCGGTCTTGAGTGATGTGACTACAAAAAAACTACGAGAGCGATTTTTTTAAATTCTGAGGCTTGTCTATAAAAATTGATTATTGTAGTAAATAATATAATTTATTAATAACTATTTAATTGACATGATTTAAAGATTCTGGTTGGTTTTGTAAGGATATTGATGTGTTTTTAATTATTGTGATCTGTTTTGGAAGGCTCTTGAATGTTTTAGAAGGCTCTTGAGTGTTTTAGAAGGCTCTTGAGTGTTTTAGAAGGCTCATGAGTGTTTTGGAAGATCCATGAACGTTTTAAAAGGTTTCTGAGTATTTTGAAAGCCTCCTGGCTCTCTGGAAAGCCTCCTGACTATCTGAAAAGCCTCCAGACTGTCTGGAAATCCTCTTGGTTGCTTCAAAAAACTCTATGTTGCTTCAGAATGCTCTAGGTCACTTCAAAAGGCTCTTAAGTTCCTTTCAAAGACTCTTGGTTATTTTGGTAGGCAGCTGAGTGTTTTGAAAGCCTCCTGGCTCTCTGGAAAGCCTCCTGACTGTCTGGAAAGCATCCTGAATGTCTGAAAAGCTTCCTGACTGTCTTGAAAGCCTCCTGACTGTCGGGAAAGCCTCGTGGCTATCTTGAAAGCCTCCAGTCTCTCTTAAAAGCCTCCTGAATTGTCTGGGAAGCCTCCTGACTGTTTGTAAAGGCTTCTGAGAGCCTCCTGACTGCCTTGAAAGCCTCTAGGTCGTTTCAAAATACTCTTGACTGCCTTCCAAAGACTCTAATGCAATGATATTGCTTCAAAAGACTCTTGACTGTTTTTCAAAGACTCTTGATCACTTCAAAAAAAATATTGACTACTTTGAAAGACTCTTGATTGCTTCAAAAGACTCTTAACTGTCTGGAAAGACTCTTGGAACGCTTCAAAAGACCCTTGACGGCCTGGAAAGCCTCCTGACTGTCTGGAAAGACTCTTGGAAAACTTCGAAAGACTCCAGGTCACTTTAAAAGACTCTTGTACGTTTTAAAAGACTCTTGACTGCTCGGAAAGCCTCCTGAATGTCTGGAAAGACTCTTGGAACGCTTCAAAACACTCTTGGTAGCCTCAAAAGAATCTGGGTCACTTCAAAAGACTCATGTCTGCCTTTCAAAGACTCTAGGTCACTTCAAAAGATTTTTGATTGCCTTTCAAAGTCTCTAGGTCACTTCAAGAGACTTTTGGCTGCCTTGAAAGATTCTAGGTCACTTTAAGAGACTCTTGACTGCTTTTCAAAGGCTCTAGGTCACTTAAAAAAACTTTTAACTGTCTTTCAAAGATTCTAGATTACTTCAAAAGACTTTGGGTAACTTCAAAAGACTCTTGACTGCCTTTCAAGGACTCTAGGTCACTTCAAAAGACTCCTGACTATCTGAAAAGACTTTGGTTGCTTCAAAAGACTCTTGGTCGCTTCAAAAGACTCTTGATTGCCTTTCAAAGATTCTTGGTCACTTCAAAATACTCTTGATTGCCTTCCAAAGACTCTAGTGGAATGATATCACTTCAAAAGACTCTTGCCTGTTTTTCAAAGACTCTTGGTTGCTTCAAAAGACTCTTGACTGCCTTTCAAAGACTCCTAGCTGCTTTAAAAGATTATTGATTGCTTTGAAGGACTCTTGGTTGCTTCAAAAAGTGACTCTTAGTGGCTTTAAAAGACTCTTAGCTGTTTTAAAAGATTATTGATTGCCTCTAGGCCGCTTCAAAAGACTCTTGACTGCTTTTCAAATACTCTTGACTGCTTTGAAAGACTATTGGTTGCTTCAAAAGACTCTTGACTGCTTTTCAAAGACTCTAGGTCACTTCAAAAGACTATTGGCTGCCCTGAAAGACTCTAGATCACTTCAAAAGACTCTTGTACGTTTCAAAAACTGTAGGTCACTTCAAAAAACTCTAGGTCACTTTGAAAAAACTATTGACTGCTTTGAAAGACTCTTGATTGCTTCAAAAGACTCTTGACTGCCTGGAAAGACTCTTGGAACGCTTTAAGAGTCTTATACGCTTTAAAAGACTCTCGGTTCCTTTAAGACTTTTGACTGCCTTTCAAAGACACTAGGTCACTTCAAAAGACTCTTGACTGCCTTTAAAGCCTCCTGATTGCCTTGAAAGCCTCCTGATTGCTTCAAAAGCTTCTTGGGCGCTTAAAAAGACTCTAGCTCACTTCAAAAAACTCTTGACTGCCTTCAATGACTCTCGATTTCAACTTTATTTGAAACACTTCTGATTGAATGATTTTTTAAAATACATTTATAATTTCAATAAGTAACTTCATAATACACACAAGTATATTATAATTTTTTTTAGCCTATTTCACCTGCGAGAAAACGGCATAAAATCATTAGCAGGGGGCGAACTTTATCGCCAGTTGAAAGAATCTCGCGATAAAAAACTCCGAGAAAGTCTTCGACCCGAAGACGACCCATTGTCAGTTTGTAATCTGTTGCAAAATCCTGCTATTTATGGATTGAGCGAAGACGAAAGCATTTTATTTTTGAAAGACAAACAATCTGCACACCCACCGAAGAGGAAACATGTACCATTGGATATCATCGGTAAATAGAAATATTTATAACATATATAAATACATTTATATATATATATATATATATATATATATATATATATGTATCTTTTATCTAGGTATGCCCGGTTACGAGAAGTTAACAGCATCCGAAAGAAATTTGTGTACCGTTGCAAGATTGATACCAGATATGTTTATTCAGTATCGTGATCAACTAATTCATGAGTATCAGAGTTCAGGTTGTTTAAGGTTAGGTGATGCTAGGAAATTGATTAAAATCGATGTGAATAAAACAAGACAGATTTATGATCATTTGATTAAGGAGGGATTTATTAAGAAACCCTCTTGATAATAGTAAAATGAGGAATGAGTGAGAAATACATTGAAGGTTTTTTACAATTATGAATATATATTATGTTAGTGATTTGAAAAATATGTTAGGCTAATTATATTAATAATTTTGCACTGTGTGTTTGCTTAGTTTATAAAATGCTTGTTTAATTTTATACTTTTTATATTATATAAAATATCACAATTTTGTGTAGAATAATATGATAATGAATCAATTTTAATTTTATAGGATTTATATTTAATATATTAAGTTTTGTTTTAGCTTTAGTTTATAATATTTTTATATAAAATTATGTATGAAGGGATTATACAATAAATTTATTTAGAACAAATTGCATTTTTATTGAAGTAAAACTTCTTTAGGCGCGACATGGGTGTAAAATAATCGCTTGCATGATTCGCGCTTACGACGCTAGTAAGCGCAGCTATCGCAATTATTCGATCTAGTCTGCGAGCAAAACAAAAAATACATCAAATGTAAAATCATATGTCAAAAACAAAACAAAATGTGTCTACTACTTTCACTTGAGCTTTGTATTTAGCTCGTAGTCTCTAAACATTTTTTGAAGTAAAACTTCTTTAGGCGCGACATGGGTGTAAATCCGTACAAATGCAACGAAAACGCCAACGTGAAGTTGAAGACTACGACTCAAAAACAAAACAAAATGTGTCGACTTTCACTTGATTTTTGTATTTAGCTCGTAGTCTCTAAACATTTTTTGAAGTAAAACTTCTTTAGGCGCGACATGGGTTAGCAGTATAATTCGTGAGGTAATAAAAATGTCAGGATCGGAAGAATATTTTATCCCGTCCCCCATAAATAATTGTAGTGCAAATGATCGCAACTAAATAATGAAACTAAGGAAAAATCTGCGCTGCGTAAGAAATGATAGCTTTGGCTATGTATGTTTTGTGTGCGATCGACTTTGGCTTCAAAGTGGCTCAGAAATATCAAATGATGCTCAAAAACAAATTCTTAATAATGTTTTTTGAATATTGATTCAAATAATTAGGTTGGATGTCAAACTTGTCGAAAGATATTAAATTCGGGTAAAATTCCCACTTTATGTAAGTTTAACGGGTTTGTATTTCCACCTATACCAAATTATCTACCTAAACTAGATACTGTATCTGAAAGGTTAATTTCACCTAGGTTGTGTTTCATGCAAATTAGACGATTGCGAAATGCAAATGGACAATTTGGAACATTTGGCCAAATTATAAATGTGCCTGTTGACGGTAATAATATGGTTAACTTATTACCTCGTAATATTGATGATGATCATTGCATTAACGTTCACATAGAAAAGCAAATGATTCATAGATCAAGCTATGTGCAGGGCTTGATAAATAAAACAAATATAAAAGTATGGCTTCAATTTGTTAGGCAAGACGGATATTACAGCTGTTCAAGGAATGAGATTATATCGTCAGCGAAAAAGTAAAAAAATACAAACAGTAAATGAATGTATGTTGATTTTAATAACATGAAGTTCTTCAAACACAATTGTTACAGGATGAGTTAATTTGCAAAAACAATATTTGTTTAGGCGTTGTTTAACATAATCCACTGTGTGAATGAATATTATAGAATTTGTTAATCAGCAATTACTTTAAAACGATCATGTCATATTTCAAGTACGACTTTGATTACATTATTGTTTGTAAATATTATACATATCTTTAATGCAATCGCAAATATATAAATTATAATTTATCATTATATATGATTGACGACACTAATAAATCACGAGTGTTACCATATTACTAATAAATATTATTCAAAATTTTTATATGATGTGTTTATTTTTACTCAACTTAAATTTGCTACTTTATACATTAACAAATAAGTTTTACTTCAATCGCGTGTGATCCTTACTCTTTTTTTTTTTTAGTCGTTGAATCTTTGAAAATTCTTAATCAATTCTTAAATTTGAAGAATTAATGTTTATATAAAATAAAGAAGTATTAATAATTAAACTATGAAAAAGGAAAAGGTCACAGTCGATTTGTTCGATGTTTTAAATTGCTCTCAATTATGCAAACTGTAAGTGTGACTTTATTATTATCATATTATTCATTCAACACTTGATTTTTTTCTGTGTACAATATTTATCGCTGGCTTTGAAAATAAAAATTCTACAATAAAAATCATATTTTACAAACTGCAAATTATGTCCATGCAGATTTATGAACTTCTGAAACAAAGAAAACTATTTTTTTTAAATATGCTAATGTCATGGTTGTAAAGGCTGATAATAACATATACTGATTATTTGTAAATTATATTTTTTTAAACCAATTATCTAATGTATCATTTTATTTATTGTTATTGTTTTTTTTCCCAGAATTTGAAAATGCAGAAGCCCTACTAGTCTCAGAAGTGCACATGTTATTGGAGCATCGAAAAAAGCAAAATGAATCTGCTGAAGAGGAACAAGAATTCTCAGAAGTCTTCAACAAGACCATAACTTACACGGCCAGGTTTAGGAAATTCAAGAATAAAGAGACCATCAGCAGTGTCCGCAAGTGAGAGAAAAGAATGATTATCTCTTTGCCTAAATTTGAAGATGAAATTTCAGTTTTTTTTAATGTGTCTGAACAAAAAAGTTGAAAAATTGCATAAGATTCTAGGGAAAATTTTACGTAATTGGAATTTGTTATCTTCTATATATATAAAAATAAGTCGGGTTTTCCTTCCTGACGAAATAACTCCAGAACGCACGAACCGATTTCGACAATTTTGCATTCGTTGGAAAGGTCTCAAGCTCCGCAAGGTTTATAGCTAAGAAAATTAGTAGTGCATGGCATCGTGCCTTAATGCAAATTGCTGGTACTTCACGCACCGTAATTAAAACTTCGAGAAATGAAAATAATCAACAACTGTTTTAAATAATTTCAAATAGATTATCTACATATATCTACATATATATATGAAAATAAGTCGGGTTTTCCTTCCTGACGAAATAACTACAGAACGCACGAACCGATTTCGACAATTTTGCATTCGTGGGAAAGGTCTCGGGCTCCGCAAGGTTTATAGCTAAGAAAATTAGTGGTGCATGGCACCGTGCCTTAATACAAATTGCTGGAACTTCACGCACCGTAATTAAAAATTCGAGTAAATGACATTAGTGAGAATTATCAGAATTATGCTTAGTTAAGTCAACGAACAATTCTTGCCGCAAAGTATAATGATGTACACGCACTGAATTTCACCATTCAAGCAAAAATTGCTCGCGATTTGGTTTGACTTCAAACGATTGCAATTTCCAGTTCGCCTTGCGTTCGCAATAACAAGTCGCAAGGCCAATCTCTCAGTGTTTGCGAGATAAATTTCAAATAGATTATTTAGAAAATCATTGTTTTTCATATGGGCAGTTATACGTTACCTGTTCACGAGTTGGAAAACCATCGGCTTTGTTTGTGTTAACGTCAGACCCAAAAAACAAAAAATGTGGTTTACCAAAGATCACTTCCATGAAACGGATAATTCGCGGATTCACTTTCATTTACTTAGAGAAGTGCAACTAAAAAACACTTCATTTTTGTTATCAAAATAAATTCATTACTGTTGTGCAATAAAATCATATTTTTCCTTTTCAAATATAAAACAAACAAAAAATTTCTGGTGGCGAAACGGAGTTCGTCGGGTTTGCTAGTTATTTATATAAGTTCTATATGTTTGAAATTTTTTTTTTTTCAATTTCATATTCTATTTGCTAGTCTGTTGTTTTTTTTTAGGAGCTTCTCGTGTTTTTTAAGAATTACTTGCTTTTTGGAAGAGTGTCTCTCTTTTTTGGCTAATTTTTCACTTTTTTTTGTTAGATTTTCGCGTGTTCCTGGTTCATTAAGAGTTTTCTTGTTTTTTTTTAAAGGGTTTACTAGTTTTTTTTTAAGAGGTTTCTTTGTTGTATATAAGTTTTCTTCGGTTTTGAAGAGTTTACTTAGTTTTTGAAGAGTTTACTTAGTTCTTAAAGAGTTTCTATAGTTTTTTAAGAGCTTCTGTTGTATTTTGAAGATTTGCTGTCGTTTTTCAAGAGTTTCTCGCGTTTTTGAAGAGCTTCTATAATATTTGAAGAGTTAACTCTTTAAAATGTAAATTTACTTCGTTTTTAAAGAGTTTACTTCGTTTTTAAAGAGTTCACTTCGTTTTTAGTAGTATCTCTAGTTTTCTTTATCATTTTTCAAGAGTTTACTTCGTTTTCTAAGAGTTTCTGACGTTTTTCAAGAGTTTATATTGTTTGTGAAGTGTTTGTATCGTCTTTGAAGGGTTTACTTCGTTTTTGAAAAGTTTAATTTGTTTTTGAAGAGTTTATTTAGATTTTGAAGAGTTTATTTAATTTTTGGACAGTTTATTTTGTTTTGGAAGAGTTTATTTCGTTTCTGAAGAGCTTACTTTATTTTTCTTGGCTTTTGAAGGGTTTCTCTTGTTTTCTTTTAAACCACGTGTTTTAAAAGTGTTTCTTATTTTTGAAGAGTTTACTTCGTTTCTGAAGGATTTCTCTTGTTTTTGGAAGATTTATCTTGTTTTTTGAAGAATTTCCCTTGTTTATGAAGGATTTCTTTTGCCTTTTGAAGGATTTTTCTTGTTTTTTAAAGGATTTTTTTGTTTTTGAAGGATTTCTATTGTTTTTTGAAGAATTTCTCTTGTTTTTTGAACGATTTCTCTTATTTATGAAGGTTTTCCCTTGTTTATGAAGGATTTCTCTTGCTTTTTGAAGGGTTTTTCTTGTTTTTTAAAGGATTTTCTTATAGTTTTGAAGGGTTTCTCTATCGTTTTTCAAGAATTTTAATAAATAATAAAAATAAATGTGTTATTTTCGTTTGGTTCTGATGTGTACGTATATCTATATTTATTATACCAAAAATTATCAGCGAGTGAAAAAAAAATTAGAACTTGTTTAAATAATTGTAAGTAAATGATAACACACATGCAGTGTCGAAACGTACAAAATAGTGATAAACGTACAAATCTCTAATTAATTAGCGAGAAGCTTGTTTCGGCGAAAAAAATTAATTTGTTAATTTTATGTGTTCTCGATGTTT